CCAGCTTCATGGCATCACATGAAGACACAAATAACATGGAACACTGGGACTACACTCTGCAGATAGCGTCTTATTTTTATAATTTTGTTGTTGCGAAAATAAATTCTGTTCAGCTTAAATAGAGCTGGAATAAAAACAATAAGTTATGCATTTACATATTCTGAAGTTTGTACAATCTTCGTTCATTTTCGCAAAGGATTGCTGCAGAAAAACATGTTGACATCTCTTTCTCTGTCCTGTCAGTAATTAAGTAAACAAGTACGTGCAAATTGCAGTATTTTCAAAGGTTAGAGCTTGTCAGTAAAATCAGTGTCAGTTACAGAAGGGGGCTTGTGGAAATTTTAGCTCCAGCATGTATGGCAGGTCAAAGATTTATCAATTTATTTATTTATTTTTTTATTTTTTTGTACAGTTTTGACAACAGTACAACTCCACCGATGTATGAAAGTAGAGTCTTTGCAAACTTGCATCAGTATGACAAGCTCTATCACTCATGTCGGTTTTTTCTCTGTTTACAAAAAAACACTACTTGCGATCGATACAACCGAGCAAAAGCTTTTCGAATGAAGTCCTAAATTTGCTCCACCTTCTCCCGGTCTGCTCCAGGTTTGGTTTTTTTTGGCTTGTTTTGTTTTGTTTTTTTCACGTAAACAGGCAAGAGGGGCCGTCGACTCGCCGACAGGCCCTCTCTCACTGCTGTAAACTAATTTCAATCAATCCTTCCTTTTTGCATCCAAAGCAGCCTCTGCTGGCTGCCACCGCCTGAAGATAACTATTTCACCACCTCTGTCATGCCTAATTAACAACTCAGATGTACAATTTAGAAATTTCGCAATTAACCTAGTAAAATATTGTTGGAGGATGCTAATTGTTATGCCAGTTGCCATAAAGGCTCATTTGCATAACGTATGTGCAAAAAACAATTATGAGCTGTTGATCGCACAGGAGCCCTGCAGAAAACGCTTGGAGCGATTGAGTGGGAAGAGACGGGGTGGATGGGGGGTGGAGGAGGTGGATGGGTGGGGTGGAGGGGGAGAAGACGTGTGCTCGAGTGTGCAGATGGAGGGACAGCGCCGGATCATTGTACATAAAAAACAGATTTGAGAGGCCATGTGCACAGCTACACAAGGCAGCGCCGCTGCAGAAACATCTCTCCCCACAGCACAAAAGCATTTACCCTGATATGCATGCTCTTGTTTTTTTTTTTTTCTTTACTCCCTCTCTTTGTCTCCCTGTCCTCTTTGTCTTGCTCTCCTTCTTTTCATCCCGGCTGATGGGGAAATGGAGGGTATTTGGAAGCTACTTAGATAATAGCCACATCTTCCTCGGTCCCCCTTGTGCTTTAGAGGAGGAAGCAGTGGCCCTGCCATTGAGCCAGCCAGGAACCCAGCTGTGCACGACCCATTCTGCACAACCGCTATCTAGTGAGTACAGCCGCATCACTGGGGCTCCACAAGACAAAAAAGCAGCCAAAGTCAATTGTCTCAGCTGCTGAATAGCTTTCTGTTCTCTGTCATGCATTTACGAGGGCTTTTTTTTTCTGTGTAAGAAAAAGGGACTGAAATGCAATGAATTAAATGTACAAAAATAAACTAAAATTATAGTATAAAATGTATATATATAACAGTATTTTAAAATTTCATTTTTTTGTATGAATAAGGCTCATTATCTTTGTCCAGGAGTAATAACATATTTTTTCTTTCTTCTAGTTCTGTTTGTGACTTACACTAAACAGTGTGGTGAGTCTGGTTGCTGTGCAGTGTTGGGGGAAACTTGCTTTAAAAGAGTATTAAAATCACACATTCCCCCCTAACGCCACCCCTGTTGCATTAATGACTTTATTAAATTAAAGGCACGGTAGATCACATCTAGTTCAGGAAACACTGATTTTTTTCTTTCTTTCTTTTACGCTAACACACTCAGTCCAAATTTATTTATTTTTTTACTCCTGCCAAGTTCTCTATATCTCCACATTGAATGTTTTTTGTCCAGACAATACTTTCTTTCAGAACTCAGCAGAACATGTAACACAGACAAACTCTTAAATACACCCAAAAGGATTTTTATTTTTTCTTCTTTCTTTTTCTCTTTCCCAGAATCCAAGTCGGACACATCCTGGTGATATTCTCTTGGCCTCGGAGTGCAGGCTCTCCCTATAATCCACAGCTTCACACACCGGATCACAGCATTTATCAGCCTGAATCTGCCACGTTCTCTCCCTCTCTCGGTTACCTCTTCAGACCACCTCCCCGTCCTCCCCCCATTTTCTGAACCTGACAAGTCAAAGGTCAGGAAAACAACAAGTCAATACACAAGCAAGACGAAGAAGAAGCGCCTCGCCGCTGAGAGAGAGCCATGGAGAGGGGTAAGCCCCTCTGCAGCGCGTTGTGATTTAGCCTGTAATAGTTTTCTGTAATCTCTTTCTATTGATTAAACCTCACATCAAAGAGAAGTCTTGCTACAGAACCTCTCTTTTCCTGCTCAGAAATACCATATGGAGGTAATCTTTCACCTTTGTTATTCTTGCCGCTCCCACCGCTGCTGCTGCCCCTGCTGCTGCCCCTGCTGCTGGGAGCTCCTTCTCCCAAGCATGAGGAGGGGAGACCAGTGGGATAATACAAACCCAGCTCAGGGGAATAACTGCAAAACTCATCTGAATCGCACACAAATTCCACTCAATGCACCCATTGTCATCTCACGCAGCTTGAATGTTACCTATTGTCCTGAAGCATGGCAGAATTTTGCTTTCAGGTTTGATAATTGGAACCAAAACGAAAACCCCTCGACAGCCAAGGGACAAAAACGACACATGCGAACCAAGTTTCACTTTTAGCTTATCTAAATGCAAAACTAAGCAGAAGAAAAAGAAGAAAAAAGAATGAGGTTGGGGTGGGCTCCAGCTAAAAACACTCAATTTAGTGACAGGCAAATGACTTCATGCTGCCACTTAATCTCATTTCTTGCATAATGCTCTCTAATTAGCATATCAAAGTGAATTAATACTTCTAGGGGCATTAGCTATGCAGGAAAATGCTGTGGCTCTACAAAAACAGTTCGAGGAGCGCCATAAAGTTCCAAACACTCTGACAAGTGCTCAAATGTCTCACGCCACTTAAAAGAAAAAAGTTATTTGACTTGACACGACAATAAGTTCTGATCACAGCAATTCCAGCAAAGAGTTGTTGTAAATAAAAGTGTTGCTCAGGCAGCACTGGGTTCCTATGGCTGAAAAGCAGCGGTACCGTGTTGTGATCTGAACAGATAGTGTAAAGTGTGAAGGAGACACCAGCAAACGATGTGAAAGGCTCGCTGCGTGCGCTGGAGGAGCGGACTGGTCAACAAGACCAGCAGAGCAGCTGAGCTCTGTCAGATTCAGAGAGGGACAGGCTGGGACTCCACAGCACAGGTTAACCACACACACACACACACCCACACACACACACACACACTTTGCAATGCATGCATGCGTGCACGCACGCACACGTGAACTCAAGCACATAGAAAACTTTCTCTTCAATATCTCATCTCTTTCACACGCATTTATTCTGAATCTCACACACCCACGCTAACGGCAAGTGCGTAAAACTTTTGTTGTTTCATCTGAAATTAATTTTCCTTTTTTTTTTAAAGAGATGCTTTTAAAACATTCAATGTCGGAGTCGTAAATTCAGAGAGGGAAGTGGAGTGTGATTTCAGAAATAAATCCACCAATCTATTTCTGTTCCATCCACATGTCAGACACGCTTTTGTGCTGCTAAGCACTGCATCAGATCCAGCACTGGTGTCATTTATGTAAGTTAGTCTGATTTGTCTTTATATTTAAATTCTCCAAATTCAGCGACAGCACAGCCACAGAGCCTTCACAAGACCGAGGAGCCCGAGCCGGTCCCTGTGGACGCCACCTGTGTTGAGGAAGTTCATAAAGTTTTATGATCTCCTAAAAGCTAATTTCCTCATAAAGCGCACAAAGGTCACAAATCTGGCACGGAGGTTTTCTCATTAGACATTTTTTTCTTTTGTTCTAATTATTTCACCACCAGAAACACACCATAAACATCTGCACAATTTGTGCTTTTAACCTTAAGAATTCGGTATTTAAATAAAAGGTTGTTGTTTTTTTTACCCTGGTCTTTAAAAAGAAAAGGATCTTTGATTACTTAATGTACAATCTGAACAAGAGGAGTTTATCTAATTCACTCTATTTTATTCAAATGAAGACATCATAGCAAGAGCTCTGCAGCAGGTCCTGCAGGCTCTAATGTTTTGAAGTTTTGATTATTGAACCTAAAATTCAGCTCTCAGCTCAATTATATGTGTCATCTGGCAGGCGCGTAGAATGTTTCAAAATATTTGCTGTAAAAATATGGAAATTATTCATACAAATGTGAAAAAAAAATTCTGCAAATCAATTTTGATTCACATCAGCAAAAATAACGTGACTATTTCTTTTTTTTTTATTTTGTGTTGTTTTTATTTTTTCCTTGCTTCTGTTTTCTCCAAATCAACGAGACTCAATAGAGTAGCACTCTAATTATAGACACGCAGACTGTAGTCTGCTTGAAAGTGTGGGATTGTTTTCATGTTATAAAGCACAAGTTTCCGTGTGATCTTAGCTGTGTAGAGCATATGCTGCGGGATTTCCCCGTCCTGCTCTGTGCCAGGGGTAGGGAAGCACGCTTTCTGCACAAATTCAAAAGACAAGACGCTCCTGCAGGAACGAGAGCATCTTCAGTGGAAAGTGACAACACTTACTGTTTCCACATGGCACACAGTGACAAATTTAAAAAGGTGATTGATTCATTCGGGCAGAGGTCTACCCCTCCACCACCTACCCCCCCACACCCTGCCTTTCTCTCTCTCCTCTTCCAAAAACCCTTGCAACCTTGACCTGCACAATGCTATTAGATCTATTCTTCTATTGCTTTTAGTTTTTTTTTCTTCTAAAATATATTTTTGTATATGTCAGGCCAATATTTGTATCTGTAGCGGAAAAATCTTACCTGTCTTTTCTTTGATTTCACAGAGAACGCTGAAGAGTGCTGGTTTCATTCTGTGACAGTTCAGTCCATGTTTCCTGTTTCAGTATAAGAAAAAAATAAAACACTCAAATAAGGTCACAGATAACAAAAAACATGTTAGACATGAACAAGTTTAAGCCTCTATGCACTTCACCTCACACACGCTTATTAAAAAAAATGTATATATTTTTTTAAGTTAACTGAAGTTTAACATTTATTATGAAAATTACTTGTTTTCAAAATGATGTTTTTGTGGTTGCATCTGCATGAGGCTGGATTTGAACAACAGTCTTGGCTGAAATCTGACATGTGTGCAGCGCCAACTTTTTTTTTCTTTCTGTTTCCTTTTTTTTTTTTTTTTTTTGTAACAACAACCACCTCGCTCAGGTTCAAACAGGTAGTTTAAATAAAACTCCTTCGCTCCCTATTGTGACAGCTTTTCACCTGCGTTAAACGCTTCGCGAGGCTCAGCCGTTTGGGGCATATTACTGTCCTCACAGCCAATCCGGTCTATTGTTAACACACTGGGACTTCAGGTAATCGGGGCCAACAAACATCCCTCAGCAAAGCCGCGTCCAGCGATCTGCTGGTGAGGGCGAACTCAACAAAACATATAAATCAACCAACTTTGCTTGCGCCTCGTCCAGGCTCTGATCGGTTATGGTCATGATCTGATGCAGAATGTCGCCGATGTCTTGCTTCCTCCCGTCCCCGTCCGTCCCGTCGTGTCCGTGCGGAGGCGGCAGCGGCATGCCTCCCTGCACCGAGTGGCCGGCCAGACTGACGCCGCCGATGGACTGCATGATCCGGGCTTGATCGTCCATGGTCGCCGCTAAAGAGTCTGTGCACTGAGCCACGCAAATTGAAAAACTCATATACGAAATCGGCTAGAGCATATGCCGTAGAGACGAGGATGGATGCAAACGCAGTGTTTGTTCAGCGAAATAAAGACGCGTGTTTCTTGAATATATGTATCTATATATCGATATATATATATATATATAGATTTTTTTTTAGTGTGAAGTAGTCCTCTTGATGCTTTTTTTTTTCTTTTTTTTTTTTTTTACGCGCGGGTCCAAAGTGCCCAAAAACGCGTGGCAGTGTTTTGCTTGGGGGATAAAAAAAAAAAAAAAAAGAAAGAAAAATCTTTCTACTTCTTCTTCTTAAAACTTCTTCGTCAAAATTGACGCTCCATCATATCCCCGCTCCAAATCCTCGCACCGATCAGTCTTTATTTTCTCCCCTCTCTCTCACTCTCTCTCTCTGCGATTTAACACCGGCAGTGGAGACAAGAATCGGTCCTTGGTGGTCTCTTCACCAGAATCCCCGGCGCATGTCCTCTTGAAAATGTCCAAATCCTCCTTCGCGAAAATTATCCAACGTGGAAATGTGTAAACAAATAATAGTGGTTAAAAAAATAAAAATTAAAAAAAAATCACAGGCTAAAATCTCAGGTAAACGTGGAGTAATGTTTCCTGTATATGTATATTTTTTTAAAAAAATCACAATCTGCAGCACAAGGTGTCCAGAGGTTACTATAAAAAAATATGAATTGTAGAAAAAGTTGAGATTTTTGTTGTTGTTGTTGTTGCAAAAGAAAGGGGAGGAAAAAAAAAAAGCAACGGCGAATCGAAATTAATTAGGACAGAACGCTGTATAAAAGGCGATGCGCAAAAAAATATCTTGCCCGGCTGAAATTTATGAGCTCCAGCCCCTCTGCCTGTGTGTGTTTTATGTTGTTTGATGGCAGCGCTAGTGAGCGATTGACAGTGTGCCAATGCCACTCACTCAGTGCAGACGTGTCAGAGCTGGGTACAGGGGTAGGAAGGAGGATAAAAAAAAAATTAAATAATAAAAAAAAGAAAAAAATACAAAATACCGAAATGAAAATGCACGCTCCGCCCTGCAGAGGAGGGGTCTATACTCTTGTCACTTCTCGCCCGAACAGCGAAAAACAAAATGTTAAGAGCGAGCACTTAGGATGGTGATTATAATGATGAAAGCACGGCTGAGTCCCCTCTCTCTTTCTTGCAGCGGCTGCAGGCAGGGTATCCTCGTTCCTCGCGCGTGCACGCCGCAGCTATGTGCATATTCTCTAGCAATGATCGAGATTTAGCTCTGCAGCACCGCGGGCGAATGCATAATGAGAGTTTTTGCACAGTTTGATGAAGAACTGCATAGCCGCTCGCGAGCCTCGGTTCGAGCCAGGCGAAGCGGCCAGACATGTTTATATTATTGCAAAGTAAAGCTCCGCGGGCCAATCCGGGCCCGGAAGGACGAAGACTGACGAGCCGTCCGTCCTATTGCTGGCAGATGCATGACGCCCAGGACCCACCCACTCCATCCCTCCATCTTCGAGCCCGCTCCGTGCAGAAGGATGGGAACTTCTGATTGGTCGTTGCCACGAGTGACATCCATTGCACAAGCAGGCGGCGCTGCTCGGTGCTCCTCCGCAGTTGCTATGGCAGCAGACAAGTTGTTAAGCTGCTGGATGCGAGGCAACAAATATACAGCGCACTCCTGCAGCCATGCATTTATATTCCGGGGGAAAGAAAAAAGGGGGGAAAAAAGCAAGCGGGCTGCCTTCGGTTTGAGGCAGTTTTCGCACATTATCTTGGCATTACAGAAAGTTATTGGGGAATAAGGCTGTGGTTTTTTATTCTTTAGTTTTTGTTTTACTGAGCAAGAGTTTGTGGAAAGAGCTTTTCCCCCCCAAGAGAATCTCGGTGTGATGCACGATCCTTCGGAGCTTAACTTTTAACAGACTTTTTTTTTTTTTTTTGCCAGATTTTGTATAATTCCACTGTATCAGACTAGTGAATTGTACAAAAATAACATAATTGCAAAATAACTATGAGACTGATTTTAGTACATTATTTGTTCAAAAGACTCTAAAATAAATACAAAATAAAATAAAGGTTTAATTTCCACCAAAATTAAGTTTTGGCACATTGTATCTCTATCTAAATAAGTTTTCCTTTTTTGTTGTTGTTTCTTTTTTTATATCTTTATTTTAAGAGATGAGGAAAGTGGACATATGGACTCACTATCTGTCTGCAGATTTAACCAGTTAAATCTTAAAACAAAGAATCCAGAAGTTTTAAAACTCATGTTGTTATTTGGGATTCTTTTGTCTAATATTATTCAGTTTCTGGCTCTATGTGGTGAAGATCTAATAGTTTCAGAATGGGATATTTTAATGTGTCACTAAGTATTCCTGGTGATTTTTCTTATCTTGCATGTGCAGATTTTAAACAGACAATGATGTGAATGCATTTTCAAAAATCTGATGTTTCTACAAGTTTCATGCGGTTGTTAAATTTGGAACTACTGGATTTTCATTGCATTGCAATTTCTACATCACCTCATAATATTGTAAAGTTGTAAGTCGTAACTAAGTTTCTCTAAATGCTCCAGAAACCGAAACTGAATGTTAAAGAATCTGCAAGTAGCGTAATATGTTTAACAAGTACAGGTTTGACCTGTCTGTACGTCACAGTTGTCACGCTTGTGTCAGTGTGTGATTTTCTTGATGCAAGAAGAGTGCAGAAAAATGTTCAATTTGTTTTCTCATTAATCGGGTGAAGATTTCAGAAATCTCAAACTGTGTTTTACAAATCTCTTCCATGGAGACTGTTTCATTTCAGGTTTGACCAGAAAAGATATGTTTAATTTATTTTTAGATTTTGAAGAAAAAGGTGATTAAATGCCAATCCCTTAAATTCAGCACTACATTTAATAATCTCAAATCAAAAAACTATTTTGCATCGTTAGCATCCAATAATGTACAGCCATTATTTTTTCATTGTGCTTAGCTTGCACAGAACAGTCACTGACTGGACATCCCAATAAGCAACAGAAAAGTTCTGAGGGCACAGACTATAAACAATATTATTTTTTTGCATTTTGTTTTAGAACCTACTTTTGTCACACCTGTGTCCTGTCCAAAAAGTCACATTGCCCATGTCATAAAACAGCTGCTATATTCTTTAAGCAGGAGCCACCAGCTAGTCATCATGATAAACTCTTAATTATTTGAATGTGTAGAAATGTATCAGTGAATTCCTGAGATATGGTTTGTTTGTTCATGCTGGTCAAAACAAAGAACAGAAAATGATTCATAAATGATTCATTGTCAAGAATAACAGCCGAGTGACGAGACTAATCTTCAATAAAGACAGAAAGATTTTCTTAAAAAAAAGAAAAGAAAAAAAACTTTAATTTGGAGCCATGGTACGTACAGTGACTCATTACTTAAAACAATATTTCAACATTTGATTGCTTTAGCAGCAGGGGGAGGACATTGTCCTACTGTTCTATTCTGCACTCCACAAACTACAGGAGGATGAGTCAGACACACTTCACATAAATGAGAAGATTCAGTTATAAGGATGTGATGTACAGGCAGAAGCCATGTACCATAAAGAGAAACTCAAATCTCACAGAAGCACTGAAGGCAACTGAATATTTCATTTTGCTAAAAAAAAAAAAAAAAAAAACTTGACACGCAAAATGATAGAAGATAGAACAAGATAGAAAGTCAGAAAAATAGCAAGATACATTAGAATATATTCCAAAATGTACTTTTATTCATAAGTCCTGTATTTCAGATTTAATCTAACCGGATTCTCAGACAATTTTTTAATATGTAAATAAAGTCATTACGGACCGACTTGCCGTTTTGCGTTCCTATACTCATCCATTTGACCTTGAAGGAGGGGAGTGACGCAGTCTTTAAGTTTAGTGAATGGGAGTCCCAGGACTACTGCATTTATCTTGGAAATACTGAGCTGTCAAGTCACAGTGCATACCTGTCAGGAAAGGCTCAAAGGTACAGCTCCGGCTCCTCTCCTCTCTTGCAGTGCATGATTCTTCATTGCATTGCATAGCAGGCCTATTCACCGTTGTTTTCAGCCATATGTCAACATAATCCATTTCCTTATGTGACAGCTCCTAACAGTAAGACATTGTTGAGAGGAGGGAGGGATGGGGGGAGGCACTGGTTCTCTCAAAAACGTGTTTACATAACGCTTCTACAAGCGGTTTTCCTTTATTGGTGGAAACAAATATTCAACAAAAAAAATAATAAATTCCTGAAAGGCAGTTTCTTTGACTTTCTGGTTTTGTTCCTGGTTAAATTAGCAGAAACTGTTTCTGCAAAGTGAGCACAGCGAGGCGAAGGAATAAGCACCTACGAGTGGCAGAGACAACACTTTGTCATCATGCTTCTCATTGTGACATCTGAAAAGACCCACAGGTGCTGTAGAAAGTGACTGTGTTGTCATATTTCATTTAGGCATCCTTCTGCAAAGCTGTAATTGCCTAATTAGCTTGTTAATTAGGAGATTAGCATTTACTGATAGAGTGGCTTGCTCTGTTGTGATGAGAGTAATACAGATTAAGTGAGAAGTTATGGGTGCGTGAGTTCACAATTTCTCTGTCCACAAACGGGTCACAAATCATTAAAAGGTTTGTGGGGAAAAGCTGCATGTATCACATCTGACGATGGCGCTTGCTTTTTCTCGCAGCCTCCCTGCATCAGAATCACGCTGATGGTAGGGGAGGAAAGTAGAGGGGCAGCCGGTCACACGGATCCATCCCGGTCTGAGAGTCGCCTGCATTGTTCCTCGTTGCTCAGGGAAGTTGGAGGAAATGACGGAGCAGACGGAGACATTACTAACCTAATTATCAGAGGTCTTTCTTCTGCTTTGGTGACTTCGTTTTATTTATATCCTGATGTTTGTCACTGCGGTGCATGCACTTTGTCTCCATTACAACTACACCTGTGAGAGGAGAGCAAAGTAGGAAGAGTAGTGGCTGAATTTGACCCAAGGTTTAGCAGGAAGTGTTTTGTAAACATTTTCTGCAGCAGTTCAACTACACAAATTAGCAGGAAATGGAAATACGTGGCTAATTGAATGTGACGTAAGTTGAATAAGTACAAGGACGCTTCCATGTTACCAGAAAAAAGTTACTTTTAATATGAGCATGATCTCTCATTATCAGAGCCATAAACTAGATATACTCACAGTTGCATTATTATGTTCTCATTTGTCATAT